TTTTAAAAGAATAGAATTTTTAAAAAATGCATAGGGTTATAAAGTAAACCAATTACACTGAAATATAGTTATCAAAATATTAAAGAATCCAAGTTCACAGGCCCTGGGTTAAGTCCCCCATAGATGCTTTTTTTTTTTTATTTGAATAGGGATCCTGTCTACTATGTGTATGACAAATAGTTATCTGACCTTTGCTTGAAAGTGTAGTGCTAGAAAACTCCCTAGAGCTGGAGGAAGCCCGTTCAAGTTTTGGACAGCTCTGGTCATTTGGAAGTTTCTCCCTTTCTTGTGCCCGAGGTCCAACTTCTACCCATTCCTCTTAGTTCTGCCCTCAAGGGACAAGTCTGGTCCATTTTCCACAGGCAGCTCTTCAGATGAGTGAAGAAAAGTATTAGGTCGCTCCCATGGCTTCTCTTCTCTAGGTTAATCCTTCAGCTGGTCCTCATACAGCCTAGGCCTCACTTCCCTGACGATCCTAGTCTCCCTCTTTGGGTATGCTCCAGTTTGTCGATACCTTGATGAAAATGAGGCTGTCACTACCCTCATTCTGGACCTCTATTAATAGACACTAACATTTTTGGCTGCTGTGTTCCTCTGTTGACTCATATTAAGCTGGCTGTCATTGAAAGCCCTCAGATTGTTTTCACATGAACTGTTGGTTGACTCTACTATTCCATACTTATGCAGTTAATTTATTTGAATCCACATGGAGAATTTTACCTCCATCTCCATTTGATTTGATTTCCTTACATTTGGCCCATCGTTTGAGTCTGTAGATATCATTTTGGATTTTGAGTTTGTCACCCACCATTTTGACTCTCCTCACTGTGGCGTGTAGCCAGCCTCATTCCCTGGTTCAGGGTCCACTTGTGTCTTTGGGCTGAGTACTGGGGGCTCAGAACTGGGCCAATTATATGTAGCCCCATGTCATCACTGCTTGCTGTTTGGGGATTGGCATGCCCTAATTTCACACCCAGCACCTGGCTGCAATATGGATCTTCACTTGGATTCCCTCACAAATGTCTAGGGGTCTGCACCTAACACACTCCTCCAAATGGTACTTCCACAACTCAAACTGTACTGACTGATCTTCTCAGTCTCCCTTCTCCATAATAAATCTTTCTCACTAACTCACACCATTAATCGTGCAAATTAAACACCCACTCTGTCCTGGGCACACTTGAAACATGCTTTCAATACACTCTATCCAGACCCCAAGGCTTGGCTCCTAACTTGCTAGTCCAGTGAAGGCCACTGTCAGAATGTTCTACTTATTCCTTTATCTCTAGAAATAATAAATCACTCTGGGTAGCTGTGAGCCCCCATGAAACTGGGCAAAAAGTTGCTGCCTCTTTAGCAGCTGGCTCTTTCTCTCGCTTCACTAACCTCAGTAGCTGTTTGCAGTTATTCAGCTAGTTCTCAAAGCCACCCAACTAGTCCTGGCGTACGGTGTCTGGCCCACATCGCTTTCTGTTGTTCACAAGGTTAGCATGAGGGACTGTTAAACAACTTTCTGAGATCCTATTGTATTTTATCTACAGCACTCTTTTTGGTCTAGCAGTTTCTAACACTTTCAGAAAAAAAAATGAGGTTGTTGGGCATAACCTGTTCTTGAGAGCCCCAAGCCATTTTTTGGTCATAACTGCCTTCCTTTCTAAATGTGTGCAAACCATCCCTTTAGTAATACATTCTAACAGTTTTTCAGGAATTGAAGTCAGGCTCACTGTTTTATAGTTTGAACAGTAATCTTTTTCCTTTTTTTGAAAAAAGGAGACATCAATTTCTCCCATTCAGTGGTCGTTTGCTGCTTTTTTCAGTGCCAGCTGATGCAGCCCAGATATGGCGCCAAGACACCACTGAGGGTGTTAGGTATTCTGCTGGTTTTTCCACCTATTGTCCATATTAGACCTACCTTTCCTAGTCCAAAGGTCCTCTTCTGACAAAGAAAACAGACCAAGGAGGAGTAGAAAAGTTCTGCCATTTGCCATCAGTCCCTCCCTCAGGGCCCGCTGAGCCTGCTGAAGCCCTTGAGTGTTTAGCTTCTCTTTGGTTTCCCTCGAGCCCCAAGATACCCCAAGAAGCTCTCTTATTGTCCTTGGCATTCCTCGCTGGCTCTAGCCCATTTGGAGCTTTCATGCTCCTGACAGAACCCCAGGAGCTCAGAGTTGGAAGCTCTTAGAGGCTGCCTAGCCTACCCAGGCCTCTTCTACCAGTCTCCTTTATAACACACCCAGTAAGTAAGTGGTCATACTCTAGGGAGGAGGGGGAACTCATTATTTCCCAAGGCAGTCTCACTTCACTCTTAGAGAGCCTGGTTTGTTAGGAAACTTTTCTTTATTCCAAGCCTTCATTGTTCTCTTTGCAACCTCTTTTCGCTCCTAGTCCTACACTTTGGATATAAACAGAACAAAGCTTATCATCTTTCTTCCACATCACAATCTTTCCAATTCTTATGGGACTGTATACTCGGATACTTTATCAGTATTTGATAGTATTATACTGATCTTCAATTACCTAACTTTGCTTCCATCTTCTCTTCATGGCTCTTAAGAATATATGTTGTTCATTGAATTCCCCGTGTAGCCATGTTGGTTTCTCAAGACAGCTCCCCTTTTTTTGTGGGATAATTTGTCCTCAGAATTTCATTCCTGATAGTCTTTCCTCCTTTTGGGGGTGATTTTTTCCTGCAAAGTTGGAGGCCATGGGATCCTGCCTCTGAACTGTGAAATCCTCTCCCCCAAATTCCAAGGTGAATGTCACAGATTTGCCTACAGTCTGAGAGGGAGCCCTGATGTTGTTCATCCTTCATTTTTGAAGAGGACCTATGACATCATGGGGTGAAGTCGTGACTTGTGTGTGAATTGGATTTAAGTGAGGCAGAGTTGCACAAAGTCTTCAGCCTCACTCTCTTTTAGAGTCGTCAAAATCCAGTGGCAAAACAGAAGTCAAGACAACTGGTGATGGCCCCAGATGCAATGGATGACCTTGGTTGGCATCTTCAATGCCTGCCCAAGCTCTAAGAGCTCCACAGCACCTGCGTCAGCCGCCTTCATGGCTGTTGGAACAAATCGTTCTCATCGGCCCATTCTAGTGGGGGAAGTCTTTATTTGCTTGGGGAGACTTCTCCCTAACTCACTGACAGAGCATTGGCCTGTCAGCTACCCTCAACCTGGTTTAGCCCATTTACTGAGATGGTTTTACTGGGGTGTGGCCGCTACATGTGCCACGGCTTCTTGGAACTACAAGTGAGAGCTGGGTGGCAGGTGGATACCAAAGGTGTATGAGCAGGCCTGAAAAGGACTCAGCAAGCCCTCACAACAGAGGAGCTAGTCCAGGTTGAACACACAAATATGTAATACTTCCCACCTGTATGCACAGAATAAATGGATAATGAGTTGTGCTGAGAATTACACAAGAGCAAAGATAATCCAAAATGCTCTACTGCCATCCTCACAATTTTCTGGAGAAAGTGAGGACCACCACTACCCCTCAACCCCACCCAAGAACAATGGGTGCAGAAGGCTAAGAGACATACAGGCTGAATAGACAGGGAAGCGTTGCAATCTACTGTCACTATGATCTCATCAGAACTGAGGAGATCAGAGATCCATGTGTGTCGTAGCATGGAGTGCTGGAATTAGATTGGGGGAAGTAGAAAGTCCAAAGGAATGCAGCCTGGTGCTCCTTCCATGGATTCTGGGAGACTCTCTACCCTCCAAACAGAGGAGAGGGGCCTGGTGTGAAATGAACATTCAAAACGAAACTCATTTCCCCTAACCCCTCCCTTTCTTTCAAATTAAATGCCCTGATTTTCCCCT